ACAAAGAGCATGATGGTCTTGCTGGGAACGCTCCGCCCACGTGCCTGGCTCCGAGGCCCCGTCATTCTCCAGGAAGATCCCCTTCTCCACCTGCAGCCAGAGCCTGCGCAGGGCCTGGCCGTGCCTGAGGCAGAAGGACGCGTGCACGAGGTCCCTCTCACTCTGCAGGTGCAGGGCCAGCTCCGTGATGGCCCCAGGGCCTCCCTCACCAGCGCCTCCTCTTGAGACTCATAGAGGCAGCGCATCAGCTCCCGGGTGTCCGCCCTGGAGGAGAAGGGCCAGTCCCTGCTGGGCGTCACTCTCAGCAGCTCCTGCCTGACGTCCAAGGACACGCGGCAGCCGAAGGTGGCCTCCAGCTCCCGGGCCCTCTCCTGGTTGGCTAGGCCGAACAGGAAGTAGCCCACGCGGGTCAGGCTGGGGTTGTGCAGCCGCTCCTCCTTGGACAGCAGCCCGCGCAGGTTCCCGATGTCCGGTGCCCAGCCGCCCGCGTCCTCTCGCTCTGCGCCGTCCAGCAGGTAGAAGAGGGCGGCCAGGAACTGCTGGACGCTGAGGTGTAGGAAGGCGTAGCAGCCCTCGCAGTCCACGTCCGCCTGCAGGACCTTGCCGTCCAGGAAAGGTCGCAGGTTGGACTCGCTGACCCCCAGCTGCCCGAGGTCTTCGCCATCGAACAGGGACGTCTGCGCCCAGACGCCCCAGGCCGCCAAGAGGCTCAGAGCCTGGAGCACAGTGGGGAGGTGGGGGCAGGGCTGCTGCCGGGGGGCAGCTGGGGAGCACTGGCCGCACAGGAAGCGCAGGAACAGCGAGGTGGGGATCCGGCAGGTGGGGGCCGGGTCCTCTCCCTTCTCCAGGTGCCCCTTCAGACACGTGCACACGACCCAGCACACGGCGGGTGCCGTGCCCATGTGGAACAGCGCCGGGCTGCCCTTCATGCCCTCGAAGGCGCGCAGGGCCTGGTCCTGTTGCTCAAAGTGCTTCAGGAAGTAGCCCCTGCGGTCCGCCTCCAGGAAGCCCTCCACCTCGATGAACAGCGGCTGGACCACCAGGAGCCGCAGCTCCCCCAGGGCCTCTGGGCGCGTGGCGACCAGCAGCGTGGCCTTGGGCAGCAGTTTTCTCTTCAGCAAACTGCCCAGCAGGATGGGCACGGGCTTCGGCTTCTCCCAGTCACCACAGATGTCATGGACCCCAAGGCACTCTGAGCTCGTCCAAGCCATCGATGACCACCAGGATCTTCTGCCCCTGGGCCAGGAACTGGGGGCCGGCCTCCTGTGCATCTGGACACTTCTTAGCCAGGAGCTCCTCGAAAGTGCAGGGGCCCTGGTGGCCCAGCTTCTTGCAGCTGAGGTAGAAGGTGGAGTGGAATGTCCCCGGGAGGTGGTCCTGTGCCCAGTCCAGCATCCACTTCTTGGCCAGCGTGGTTTTCCCCATGCCCTCGGCACCCTGCAGCACCACCGTCAGCCACCTGCGCTGGGAGGGGGTTTTGGAACTGGAGAGCCATGTTAACTTCTGGCTTCCCCCGATGATTTTGTAGTGCAAGTCATCACCGACCCCATCCCAACATGTGTGCTTCCAGATAGAGCAGAATTTCTCCATCGTGTGCCTCTGGCTCTCTCCTTTTCACCTCCTGAGGTGAAGGCTTAGGTCTGGCCTGAGAGTCTGTGCTCTTGACTGGAATTGAACTTGGGACCCTTCAGTCCACAGGCCAATGCCTTATCCACTTTGCCAAACAAGCCAGGGCTGTACCATTTGTCTTTATCCACTTGTCTATTGATGGACACTTAGGTTGCTTCCATATCTTCATTATAAACTAGGGGCCCAGTGCACGAATTTGTGCACCTTAAAAGGAACTGTGACCCTAACCGGCTTGGCTCAGTGGATAGAGTGTCAGCCTGTGGACTGAAGGGTCCCAGGTTTGATTCCGGTCAAGGGCATGTGCCTTGGTTGTGGGCACATCCCCAGTAGGGAGTGTGCAGGAGACAGCTGATCGATGTTTCTCTCTCATCGATGTTTCTAAGTCTCTATCCCTCTCCCTTCCTCTCTGTAAAAAAATCAATAAAATATATTTAAAAAAAAGAAAGAAAGGAACTGTGGGCCACCAGGCTGCAGTGGGCACAGAGGTGGGTCTCGGCCCATCCTCCATGCCCCTGCCCAGGCCCTCCCACCATGGCCCCTGGTCCCCTGTCTACCAGCAGCCCTGCTTCCGCCACTGCCACTCCCATGCGCTGATGGTGCTGGCCCCGCTCACACCCGCTGATGGTACAGAGTGATTGGGGCCAGCACTGTCAGCAGGTGTGAGAGGCCGCTGCCGGCCCTGGGTCGCCCCTTGGTAACAGGGGGAGGTGGAGAAGCCCTGCGGGGCGATTGTGGCCAGCAGCTGCCGCTTGCACCTGCTGACAGCACTGAGCGATTGGGGCCGGCGCCGGTAGCAGGTGCAAGTGCCCAGTGGGACTGCTGTGCATGGGAGCAAAGAATTTTCAGTAACCACCAGAGGCTTGCCCCGATGACAGCAACCGGCACCCTGCCTTGGTCTGGCATCCCTGCTCACCTGCTCCAGCATCCCACTGCAGCCAATGCCCGCCACGTTCTGCACTCTGCCACCTGCTGCCGACACCCACCATGTTTTGTGCGCACCCCCTGGTGGTCAGCACACGTCAACGACTGGTTATTCGGTTGTTCCACCGTTTGGTGTATTTGCATATTAGGGTTTTATATATATAGACTAGAGGCCCAATGCATAAAATTCGTGCAAGGGGCTCGGCCCTTGCAGCCGCAGCAGCTTGCCTCGGCCCTTGCAGCCCGAGCTTCATCTGGAAGGTCGTCCGGAAGGTTGTTCGGCTGTCCAGTCCAATTAGCATATTATGCTTTTATTATTATAAATAATGCTGCAATGAACATATGGATGCATATGTCTTTTGAATTAGTGTTTTGGGTTTCTTCAGATGAATACCCCAAAGTGGGCCCTTCTTTGTCTCTTATTGTATAGCCTTTGTTTTAAAGTCTATTTTGTCTGATGTATTGCTACCCCAGCATTTTTTCCCATTTCCATTTGCACAAAATATCTTTTTCCATCCCTTTACTTTCAGTCTATGTATGTCTTTTGATCTGAGGTGGGTCTCTTCTAGGCACCATATGTATGGGTCTTATTTTCTTATCCATTCAGCCACCCTATGTGTTTCATTTGGAGAATTTAATCAATTTACATTTAAAGTAATTATTGATAGGTATGTAGTTATTGCCATTTTAGTATTAATATTTTGGTTTCTTCTTCTTTTTCTTCCTCTTCTTCTTCTTTTCCTTCTCCTTCTCAAGTCCCTCTAACATTTTTTTTGTAGTGATGAACTCCTTTAGCTATTTTCTTATCCGCAGGCCAATGCTCTATCCACTGAGCCAAACCAGCTAGGGCAAGATCATTAATTCTTTTAACTAATTTTTAATGAGTAGCTATTCTGTGCAAAGCATGTAATAGCTTCATCTCTGTGAAAATCCACATGGCCAAATTTCTGCATGGTTAAGCTTTTCAATAAGTGTGTTGCATAAATTTAAAATCTGTATGGATTTAATTTTACAAAACAACTAGGTGGTTCTAAGCCTTTCTAGAAGTCTTCTTGGAATGCAACATTATCAATTAATTTTTTGGAGTCTCTCTTACATTTGCCTGACTCTAGAATACACCTGAATTTATTGATCCATCTTATAAAATGAAGCTTGAAAAGAATTTTCCCCAGCTTCCTTTTCTCATCAAAGTGTCCCCAAATTACCTCTACCTGTAGATATTCTGTGGCTCATTGAAAGGTGAAGTAAAGCAGATTCTCAATCCCCATCTCAGACCTGCTGCATCTGGCTGCATTTTAATGTGATTCTCATACACAGTAGAGTTTGAGAAGCATTGATTTAGACTTTGATACTTGGTTCACACTTGTCCCTGGTCCTTCTTTCTGAACAACAGAGATAAGGAGACCAGACTAGCGGTAACAGCTGTTTCAGAAACAGGATCTGTACCCAAGGATCCACTTATATACTTATCCCCATACCCAAGCCCTGCCTGCACAGGAAGTCGGCCACTATAGATAGGCTGCCTGTAGGAGACTTAAGGACATGAGGGACCTCCAAAAGTTGTTCAGCAGGGTGAAAATGGGTGGGACAGGAAAGGGAGGAAAGTAAGTTCCTGGATTTCAAAAACCACAGTGTGTCTAGGTGCTACTTTCCCCCTTTTAGCACATAGTTTGTCATGAGACATCCGTTTGCTGCCTCTTTTCCTTTTGCATTTTGCCCCATATTAAAAAGTCACCATCTAAAACTTTTCTCCATAAATTAGAAACTTTAAGTTGTCTGGGACTGAATGTGCCTGTTTTTGCACAGTTTCTGGCAGTTCCTTGCCTTTATGGTGTAGTCATGGTGAATCCTGAGTCATCTGAAGATGGTGGCAGTGCCAAATTGCTGGGGAAGGAGCTGCTGACAAGCCAGGACAGTGAGGAACTGGAGATCAGTAACCTTGGGCATGGGGGCCATTAGTCTTCTTTTGCACAGGAGAGCTACCCCCGTCCTAGTTAAATACAAATTGCTGCAAGCTTTACAGTTCTAATGAATACTTGCCTCTGGCAAGTGTGTTTAGACACAGCCCAAAGTATAAAGCATCTCCCCAGTTGTTTCTCAGAGTTCCAAGTAGCAACACCTAATTCTTGCATGTGCCAGGATTCTTCTTTTATAAGCTGAGAAACCACATTTTCCTGGTGAGGCATATATATACACCTCGATTTTTGTTTTAAGGTTATAAAGTTTTCTCTGGTGCACATTCATATACATGAAACAACTACCCAGTAAATACACCCCTCTTTTGTGTGTTTGTGTGTTTGTCGTTTCTCTAAAATTCTGACTCATAGTCTGAGGACAATGATTAATTTTTTTCCATTTCACATAGCTGCTATGAATTTCTCCTCACAAGGATGGGCCTGTTTACTCACTCCTGGCAGCGTTGGTGGAGCGCTAGTGTAAACTGCCAGGGGAACCCGGAGGGCTGGGGGAGTGGGCGCCCGGTGCGCTCCGTGGGAAGCAGGGATGCTGGGCCCAGGTCGGGCTGACCTCATTTAGAGACCGCTTTCTGACCCTCCTGGATTTGCGGTGTTTGCCAGAGCGGCGAGAAGCGCCATTGTGGTGCGGGTGGGAGGGGTGGAGCCACCAAGTCCGGTCTCAATTTAGATCTCTCACTCCGCTTTTAGGCGCGCCCATTTCAGACTGTTCAACTCCAGGCAGGGGGGCAAAAATCAGGGAGGAGGTGGAAGCCACACCCCGCAGTGCCCGCGAATTTCCCCAGGAGCCCAGGGTTGTCCAGGCAGACGCTGCGGAGATGCGGGGCCCACAGCTCCTGACCGCCGCCCACCTCGTCTGCGTGTGGACCGTGTGGACCGCCGCGCTGGCCGCAGCCCCCGGGTAGGAGCGCGGGCGCGCGGGGCGCGCGGGGTGCGCGGGGCGGGCAGCGCTGTCCTGGGCCCGGGCTGCGGGAGGAGCAGCAGTTGTGCAGCAGCGGGTGGGAAGTGCCCCGCGGCGGCAGCCCTCAGCCAGGCACTGGCCTGGTGGTTTTACCATGTGTCCCTTCAGCTTGGTTTTCCATGAGATAGTTATTTTCTTCACCCTTGAAGTTGTTTAAGAGTTTTTCTGGCCATAACTACTTTCTAAAGAGAATCATTTTTAGTCCACGTTGCCTCTGCATTTTCTCAGCCGTTTGCTCCCAAATAATGTGCCTGCCTTCTTCTCTCAAAGACAAATGGTGCTAGTTTTTCTCAACCTCTGGCATGGGCAAAGTGTGTCTTGGGTGGCTGATGTGTGGTTCAGATGCAGACGCTGTAGAAAGGTAACTACGGAGGCACCCAAATACTGGAAAGTGCCCCACTCCTCACGGTTTTTGTAGTTGAGCCCTAACCCCTAGCTTAGGCAGAGAAAGTGCTGTTTATGCCCTGCTACACCTGGAAATTTTACCACTGATAGTTTAATGTCTGATGGTATATTTCAATCAGTAGTATTGGTTAGATGATCTTTTCTTGGGCAAATGCCCAAACAAAAAGGTTAGAATAAGAAACAGGCAAAATCTGTGTGTATGTACTTGCGTGTGTGTGAGTGTGTGTGTGTGTGTGTGTGTGTGTGTGTTTAAGCCAAGAAAAAAAAAGTCACCCTGGGATGAGGTCATCTGTAAAATAGAAGTTTAGAGGCTTGCACATTGCCAATAACTTCTGCACGCCCCCAGTGTAAGCCATCTACATGGAGGCTCATCCTGTGCTGTTTGTAGTTTGGAAGTAATAACACAGGTTCTACTCTAGTGGTACATGAATTACTGCATTAAAATTAATTTCTGGGAATTATTGTTTCAATGGCATTTCAGTGCAGCTGCTAAATGGAGCAGCAGGGCAGTATTAATTGGAACACTTGCATTTGGCACAATATAGGGGGTCTGTCTCACTGTCTATAAAATTTGAGGATCACAAAAGAATGGTGAGGGGAGGATAAAAAACTTTGTATTTTTCCTTGTTGGGAATTCTTTAGACCCAGGTTTCTGGTGACAGCTCCAGGAACCGTCAGGCCTGGAGGAAATGTTACTATTGGGGTGCATCTCCTGGAGCACAGCCCCTCACCGGTCACTGTGAAGGCAGAGGTGGTCAAGTTGACAGGAAACCGCACTGCCTTTATTACGGGAGCAGAAGGAGTCTTTGAAAAAGGTAAGATAAAAAGCATCGAGTTTTACCCTTCTTCTGTGGTAATTGGAATATGTTAATAAAGCCCCGTGAAACCTCAAATTTGGAATGGCTCACGTAATATATTTTTAATTGTTACTTCATAAATTCCAAAATGGTGTTTTTGGGTGTTCTTCCAAGTGGCGATTCAGAGACCCAGATTCCTTCCATCTTGTGGCTCCATCATCATTAACAAGTAGCTTCCAAGTCTGCAGGGGAAGAACATGGATTTTCTCATGTGGGGAGGTTTTTATGGGCTAGATCTAGAATTGGCTCATATAACTTCTGCTCCTCTTTCAATGGCCACATTTACAAAGGAGATTGGGGAATGTAGGCAAATATGTGCCCTGAAGAAGAAATGGATATAGTTAACAGTCTGACACTAACCCGTATTTAGTGTGTGTAGAGTACTTTACTAAGTAGGCCTCTGGGAAGGAAAAGAAGAGCAACACAAGAGCTAAAATCCAGTTTTATGAAATATTTCTTAATTTTTAAAGTAACAAAAAGATAATGTAAAAGTGGGAGCCATTTATAAAAGAACCTACATCTCTTGTTTCAAGTTTATGTTCTTACCTGGCCCAGGATTAAATTGGGTCTATGAATGTCTTCTTTTTCAATAGTAAGGGAAAAATAATTTTTTTTAGGGAGTAAATACTTAAATATTTTTTTCATCAAAATAACATTTATTGTATATTTTTCTAATTGAAAGAGTAATATATGGTCAGTACTTACAACCTGATAAACACTGGAAGTAAAGGAAATAAACCAAAATCACCCATAATCTACCACCCAAATATAAACACTGTTAACCAGAAGCATGTTTAGATTTAGTCAGTGGCCAGAAATTGAGGCACAAATGCCTATAAATGTTAAGAGTTATATTTAAAAAAATTATGTAGGGCACATAATGAAGGGTGGATGGGATCCTACCATAATTCATTGTATAAATATTTATCCTCTACCAGCATAGAGGAATTAACAGCATTAGGAAATGAGATAAAATCAAAGTTGACCTATATTTGTGGCTCTTTCTCCACTGGAAGTTGATTGACTAGGTGTATATGTTTGGGATGGGAGTCAGGAAGAGGTAATGTGTGCAGGGACTAGGCCACTTTGTCTTTCATAGGAGAATATCAGGAAAAAGGGAAGTCTTGTTTCCCTGGAAATGTCGATTAGAGCTTAAGTTCCGAGTTTGAGCCTTAGCACTAGTTGTGTGATCTTGGGCAGGTTACTTTACTGTTCTGAGCTTTAATTTCCTTGTCTGTAACATGGGGATAATGAAATTTAATTCTCAGGGCATGTATCAAGTTAAAATCAGTATCTAGCACCTGTTAGGCACTCAGTAAACACCAGCTGTTAATATTATAAGTAATATATAATGTAATAATACTGAAGAAGAAGATGCAGGAAGCATCATTTCTTTTTTACATGGAGGCAGACCTCTATTTTCATTATTGAACCATTATTTCTAAAAATGAATGAATCCTTGTTTTATAATAATGGCTAAAGAAAATATTGAAATACTAAGTCACAGTAGACAATATTTAAGGTAATTCCACATTTATTATTATTTATTAACAATTATTATTTTGGCTCTACATGTGTGACAGTTTTTCTGTATTGTAAATTTGGATGATTTTGACAAATACTTGGGCTTTGCTTGGATGCTTGCATACTTTTATTCTGGAATTTCCCCTTCATTGTCTTTTCTGCAATTTCTATGATCAGTCTCCTTGCTGGGGGTGCATGTTATTGTGGCTTAGTTTTTAACTTTATTCTTAGATTTTTCTTTTGGGAGGAGAGTCTGTCACATGACTCTGGGAAGGCTAAAGTGCTCAAGACTGGGTGGGAAAACGCTATCCTTGTTGCAGAATGAGTTTTTGAAAAAGAGAAAATTTGCTCTTTCAGGGGCTGTTTTTGACTCTGTTAATACACAGTTTCATTGAAAACACCATCGCTGGGAGCGTGGTCCCTCTTTGACAAGAGAATGTTATTCTGTTATCAGAGGCTTCGAGTCATTGTTCTCAGAACAGATGCTTCCTGGAATGTGAGGAGTTAAGGATCAAGACATTTCTCCCTTCTTGTTTTCACATCCTTTGCTTTATCTGATTTCTCCAGTTGTAACTACACTAGATAAAAGAGGACTTCTAAACGAATGGGGTCTGGATCTTCCTAGGATTCATTTTTATTCTTAACTACATAAACACAAATAAATACATTTTAGGTCTGATTATTTCATCACTTTCTTAGGCCTTCCAAGAAAAGGTTGATTTTAATAAAGATTCATCTTCTAGTAGAGCTGAGTAAGGGTGGGAACTGTTTCTGAGTGGCTGTTTCTAGCGGTCCTAGTCTTAGAAATTCCTGGAGCAGGGCAGTGTTTCACCATAACTAGAATGCATTTCTTGCTTAATTTGTGTCAGAAAAAGTAATAGCTGAAGGATTCCTATTGTAGAATAAGGGCAAAAAAGCATGGCTTGTCCTCAAGGAAGAGTTCATTTATTTTTTTGACAGACATAGGGAAAATTTTGCTTGCATTTTTATCCTTGGGGCTAGCAGCGTTGATTACTTACAGTTCATTGATTCATTTTTAATGCATTCTACATTTATTGAGGATCAATTATGGGTTTTTTTTGAGCAACCAAGCCTGTTGGAAAAAGTGTTTCTACTAAACAGTTCTCTAAAGATGTATTAATGCCTCTTTAGTGGTGATATTCAGACATTCAGGTGTACTTGTCATTATCACCACCACCAACCTCATCTCACCTTCATTATCAATCTCATCATTATCATCTCTGTAATGAATAGAACTAGGCTCATGATTTACTCTTCTATTGTATAAAAGAATAGGACATCTCCTGGTGAGTGCCTTCTGGTCTGGAGGCACCATTTATTTGTGGTGCCAAGACTTCTTCCATCTTCTCATTGATGTATTGGGGTGAGGTGTATTCTCTGAGTGTGTCCGTATCCTTTAATAACTTGCTTTTTCTTTTTGCCCTAAAATCTTGGAGAGTTAATGGGGTGTTTACCTTCTATTTTTTAAGAATTAAAAATTCTTCTTTTTCCTTTATTGTTTCTATCTTTTCCACATTGACTATGGGGTATGTTATTTTCCATCTTGATCCAGTAAAGGTAGGAAATCAATAGTTCTTAAATTGAGATATTAACTGAAAACTTAAAAAAAATTCATCGAATTCAGTTTGGATGGCTTTCTGGTGGAAACAAAGCTCTTGATCATACATTTCATAACTCATAGATCAATATCAGTCCCATGGTTTTTATGAGAGTAGATTAATGAGTATAGTGTGTGGGCAGATCTCCCAGGACAGGTTTTCACAGGCAGCTTTGCTAGTAGAACTCAGTCTAAACTTGTAGTTACGTGAGAATTATTGTTAAAAGAGTGTGGGCTCTTCATTCACATGCCTTTGCTATTGTGTGTGATCTGTATGAATAGGTAGGGGTGCCTGATGTGCTTGGGCTCTGAAGCCAGGTGACATGAATGCCCCTTCGTTAGTGGTTGTGTGGCATTGGGCAGTCATGATCTCAACAGGCTTCAGTTTTATCATCTGAAGAATGGTAGTTCCTGTCTTTTACAATTAAAGTTAGTGTGAGGATTAAGTGAGCTAACATCTTTAAAGCACTTAACACATAGGAATTATTTAAGAAAAACGGTAGCTGTTGTTATTAGAAGAGAATTGCAACAATTATGTCCGAGGCAATTATTAATCGCCTATTGCGACGATCTTGAACTGGGAACTCTAGAAAAGGCACATCACTAGGAGAGAAGGAGAAGGGATTTAATGTGTTAATTTTTGAGTTCCCCGTTGTGCCAGGACTTTCTGCACAATATTTCATTTCAATAACCCTATGAAAAAGTCACTACACTGAGGCTAAGAGAGAGCAATTAATTTTCCTGACTTAATATAGTAAATGATAAAGCCTGAATTAGAAGTTGGTTCTGTTGGTTCTGAATTTTTCAGAAGGTTTTTCTACTGCCTGGAAAAGCATGAAATTTGTTTCATGCTTTTGTTTGCTTTACTTTGCGATATCAATGCAGTGTTGTATCAGTCATCTTCCTCTGAAATCATTTTCATTTTGCTGGTAGGAGTTTAGTCCTAGATCTAATGAAATATAATTTGAATCCAAAGAATCGCAAGTCACAGTGCTAGCTCTCCTGTTAAATTTTCAAGTTGGATGGGACCTCAGAGATAAGGCAATCCAGTCACCTGATTTATGGCTGAGGAGGCTGAGGTGTGGTGTCGGGTGACTTGCCCAAGGTGAAATCGCTCATGGGTGGAAGCCGAGTGCAGGTCCCCAAACTGGCAGCCCAATGCTATTTCCATCATACTCTAGGAAACTTTCCTAACATCTGGAGGACTGTGTGTAAGACTGAGGATATATTTGCAAACGTTGATTTTTTTTTTTTAAAATATGGAAGGAAATAAAGCTAACTAAGGAGTTTTAAAATGCTTACCTGCATTTTTGTGCAAGTTTCTTATTTCAGTTCAAGGGGGAGTTGCTCTTTATGGACTAATGGCTCTGCATCAGGGGTGGGAGCCTTTCTAACATTAAATTCTGTGGCTGTGTTTCTCAAAGTTCGAGAAGTACTTATTAAAAATATAGATTTGTGGCCACCCCTTCAAGGCATGGGTAAGGTCTAGGCATCTAAACTTTATTTTATGCACTCACCACAAGTGATTCTTAGAAACCTCAAAATGAGAACAGCTGTCCTTTAGTATCTAAAGAATTGTTCTTTTTTTAAAACATGTGCAAAATTTATTCAACATTAATTAATGAAGTAGAACATAAAATTGTTTCAAAAAGAAACTTTGAAAGGAAGACAAGTTTGTTTTTTTCCACTCCTTGAAATATAGCTCGGAGCTTGCATGAATGTGTGTGTAAGATGGAACTTCATTGCAAAGGAAAACTGAATAAGTGAAGTAAAGTCTAAGTCAAGCAAACATAGGCAGAATCTGAATCCTACCGTG